AGGGAAAGATGAGAAATTGGGCTGAGTGTTGCCAAGTAGAGCAGTTTGTCTCATGACCGCATCTCATAATAACATGTAGGAGCTTCAGGGCTTTATAACAGATTTCATAAGTGTTTAATGAGGCACAGAGTAAGAGTGATTAATATTTTTAAATTTTTCTGCAATGAAATAAATAAAAGGGTTATTTTTTCTTTTGATAGTTATGACTGATTCACAGTTTGCTTTAATATATTTTAGATGGGGTGCTGTGCAGTAAGAACTTAATCCTGCATTCCCCTCTGGCAGTATCAGTGTATCAGTAGTCTACCAGCACGGAGAACTCAAGGGGTTAGGATCAAGAATCCATTGTTTTGAAACACCTCTAAGTACAAAGTACAGCTAGCATAAAGTTTTAACAGGCCAAAGTCACCCACTCATGAAGTATGCGTCCCCTTGCACATGTGGCAAAGCTGGTCAGCTGTCCCTGACACTAGCTCCAGCACTCAAAATGCAGCGAGATGAAAAGCACTGCGGTCAAAACCAAGTTGAGCACCACAGCCTTTCACAATTCTCCTTTTAGCCCTTGCCACTGTTAGCATATAGTATAATCCTAGAAGAAAGTGGCTTACATAACTCACTCAAAGTTACTTATATTTTGGAGCTCGTCAGGTCATAGTGCAGGGTGCTACATGACACAGCAGTAAGTACATTTGCTATGTCAGCGTGCTCGTTTCAGAAGAAAAATCTTCTGAAACGAAGTTTTGCTATGGAGCAAACATATTTCCATGCCGTATTTTTCTGAGATGGTGCAAAAGGATTCTAGCCAATTAGCTGCGCTGCATTTTTGTTGGGCACCTTGCATTTGGACATGAATGCCTGATGCTCCTGAGCAAAGTCAGTTTGTTTCAATATTATTGACTTGCCTTAGGCCCAGTTTGGCTTTGGCAAAGGCAGAGCTCCCAGTGATGTGATCTGGATGCAGCATCCAGAGCCCAGAGCATATCAGCTGAGCCTCAGTCACCTGGTGTCATGGGACTTGGCCAGAGCCAGAGAAGTAATTTCAGAGCAACTGAGGATAATTGGGTTGGGAGGGAGAGAAGGGAAAGGGATGGAGGGAGGACAACTGAGCAGATATAAAACCTATTATAATTTTAAACAATAACTTGATTATAGAGTCTCTGGGAGAATTTTAAAGCAGTGCTTGGCAGTAGCCTATTAATATTATGAGATGCAACCTGACACCAGAGTCATCCCATCATTAAATCCCCTCTATGTTGAATGCACTTCCTTGAATGCTAACTCCAGTGTCATTATCCCAGTCAATCTTTCTGTCCCTCACTACAGCTATGGTTGCGGCTTTATACTTGAGCAGCATAAAACACTTAGAGCTCAGAAATGCTTAGTCCAGTCTAACAGCGGTTCCAGGCCCAGAGTATCAGATTCATCCTCAATAAACTCTTGACTCTGACACTCTGTGGTGTGTAGCGTTGCCAAATTTTAAACTCAACAGAGAAATGAATGCAAGATAAATAAACAGCAAGATTTTGGCAATAATAATAAATGCAGCCACCCTGGTTTAGAAAACATGCTAAGCCTTTGAACAGTTTTATTTTAGAAAAGGAAGACTGTTTGAAAAAGATCCAGGGTAAATGTTTTTGGTAGACAGAGATACACAATTAACAAGGGTGACTATCTCCTCTATTAAACCAGCACTCTTCTGACCTCTCCGAGACTATTCTCTATGCTTTTGAGGCTTGGTTTTCAAGTTAGTAGTGCAGTAGCGCCAAGGGGTGTCATGTCCTCAAATGAGAGGGCATCAGGATGCTCTGAGACTATGTAAAACAAGTTATTTGTGCCAATGATAGTCTGCAAGATTAAAAAAAAAAAAAAAAAAGCTGACAAAATAGCTTTCCCAGCTGGACCTCAAATACTAATGAAGGATGTGGCCAAGAAAAAAGACACCTCTGTCCATTCAATGGTAGCTGGGACCTGGGAATAAGGAGACAACAAACACAGCTTGCTGCAGGGTTTGCTTTTATAGCAGACCTCTGTGAAGATGGTCTTTCGCGGTCTGGCTGGCACAGAAAGTATCAGGTGTCTCACGATGAATGGAATCCCTATGGAAGTGTTGACTGTAAATGGGGAGAGCCCCAGATGGTGTGGGTGAGGCAGAGACTCGCTGAACCCAGCAGAGCCGTGTTACTTCATGTTCATTCCCAGTGGGCCTGATAGCAATTCAGAAGGTTTTCCTGGAAATCTCGAAAGAACAGGCTGTTATGGAATTCTTGTGTTTCTACATCTGGCTGGATGTTGATTTTTCTGATTTTCAGCAGAAAGCCTGGAAGGGGGAGAGAGAGAACCTTCCTCTGCCAACTATTTATCCAAACGGGGGAAATGCAGTATGGGAAAGAGCAGTCAGAGGTGATTGACAGAAATCTTTAGAAGGATAAATCCTATCAGGGAGGCTGTGTGTGTGTGTATGTGTTGGATTTGTGTCAACATGACATCATACAGAAAAGAGAGGTAGATCAGGCCAGGTAAAGAATCATAGTAATGCAGCTCCTGACATTTGAGCTCCTTTTTTTAGAGCTGGTGGTATTTGGTTTCCATAGCAATGCACTGTGTCGTGCAGAAATCCTCTCAGCATGTGCGTAGGATAAAAACATGGAACCGCATCTAGATCTCTGGTAATCCCCCACCAGGTACCACACTGGGACAGTGCTACAGGGGAAATACTGCTGAACAGTAGTATTCCTGAAGTCATGCTCCTATCCAGCAGAGTCTGTAGCATTTGAGTGCTCCCTGTTAGGGCTGCAAGGCTCTAGCCTTCCTTGTGTAACCTTTTCCTCCTTTCCTGCCTTCAAACATCCTGGAATTTATGGTTTTAAGGCCTGGAAAGACAAGGCGAGCTCCTTCCATCTTGCTTTTCTCTCTGAGTGAGGGAGTTAGCCCCTCTGAAATACTGCTAGATTCTGACTGTGCACTCTCATGTGAACTCTCCCGTACTATGCAGAAATTGCACCAGTTTTTTTCTTGTCTATCATTTCTCTTTAATGTAGAAAAATGGTGACTTGATGTAGAAAAAGTAATTGCTCTGCTGGGAAAGAGCATTGAGTTTATTACTGAGGAAACTAATAGAAATCTCATCAACAGATTTCAGAGAAAACTCTAGGCAATTCTGTGAAAGTCTAATTAGCTTAATTAACTGAATAGGACTGGAATTCCTCGCCACAGAATTCTTTCTTTTGTAATATTTTGGGTAGCTATTCTTTGAAATTCTGCCAGTTGACATTTGAATCAGTAAAATGGGTTACTATTGTTACTATACTTTTCTAGGAAGGTGGAGAAGACCTGTTTCACTCCTAGGTCAGCTCTCTGCCTGCGTCTGATTGTCACAGAAATACAAAGAACTGTGACTAACTGTTAGCTAAAAGCTAAATATCTGCTTTTATTCTTCTGGGTCTGTACTATGAATGGATAAACACATAGCAAACACTGGCACAGCCTCTATTTGTAAACCAAATATGAACAATATAATATAATAAGGATCATGAAGGTGGTCGGGTGAAGGACTGTCTTCATAGCTATGACAAAGCAAATATAGAAATCATGTTTCTGGTAAATGCACTTGGTTTGCAGTACTTATGCTATTCTTTACTATACATGCCTTCTTAACTTTTCTCAAGTCCCATCAATTGCAAAGGTGCCACTCCTTCTGTATGTCTAAAGTTAAACATAGCTTTGTTAGACACTGGTATAATTATAAATGTTATTTTCTGGATTAATAAATGAGGTTCTTCAAACTTTGTTCCATCAGTAAAGGAGAACACTGGAGAGACAGTCAAGAAACAGCTAGAATAGATATGTGTATTCTCAGCTCTTTTGCTCCTGTCATTTGCCTTGTGCAGAATATTCTGCCCCAGGAGATCGAATCACGAACAGGAGAGACCAGCTTCAGTAGAGAGCACTCTTGTGGCTTTTTGAATGTGATTCAGAATCACAAGGCAACTTGGCATTTTGGAAGAAGAGTTAAATCGGTCGCAAGACATTATGTGCTCAAAGCTGATGAAATGAGTTTTCATTTTTAACACACGAATCAACATTTTTTGTGTTAATTAACCTTCCTGTAACTTAAATACAACAGTGCAGCATTCCTTTCAGAGACATGCAACTGTTTTATTTTCAACTTCTTTCTGGAAGCAAAATTTACATTATTTCTTTCTTGATCTTAAAATACATTAACCATGGTCTTTGGGTTGTCGTACTGAAATACAGAGTTGATTCTCCTTCTAGCTTGTTTAGATAGTCTAACAGTTTTCCTTTTGGAATCAGAGACAAACCTGCAAATTTTGGAAGCATTTTTCTGAATGGGACACTGTCTTCAACAGAAATATCCAAAAGTACTCACGCTAGAGCCATGATCCCATAAGGCCAAGAACGGATTTCCAGCCTCTTCGGGCTTTTTATCTCATCTGATGTCAACACCATCCCGCTGTCCGACTCCTGAGTAGCAAAAGGAAGAGAAGATCAGCAGAGTGCCAAACAATCATGACAGCATGGAGCACTTTTAATTTAAAAAATGGCTTGCCATGGGGAGAGTGTGGAGAAGAGTCAGACTAAACCACTATCAATGTCAATAGAGAAGGAAAGCCAAGGAGCTAGTTAGAATACCAAATTCCAGCTATCTTGTTCTGTGGTGATACTGCTTTTAGGCAGGTTGATAGAACTTCATCTTATGAAACTGTCTCCAGCTGCGGAGTAGACAAAGCAAGGGCAGGAGAATGTGGCATGTAGAGGTTGGGGCTCCCTCTCTATGCAGTTAGCAGGGAGGATGTTATATCGTAGTGTTATATACTGATACGTGTGTACTGGAACTAATGTAGGAGCTACCAGCTATTCTAGGTAATCACAGGATTCCAACCAACAACCTGGAGGGCAAATGTTTGCATCTCAATTGTGTGCTATTTAGTAAAGTGCTTGACGCATAGTTATGTCCAGTTGGTGTACGACATTAAGCCCATTCTTCAGAATATTCTCTTATCAGGGGCTATATTATCAGGTTTTGTCTGATTGTTCCTGATAATGCTGCTATTTTGCCTGAGAACATTTGCCTTGGGTTTGTGATGATAAATTTTTTGAGCTGCATTTTGAAAGAGCACTCTTAAAATGAACATATCAAAAAATAATTTGACATTTTCAAACTTGAAACTGATATTAAGCATGACATATGGATACCATCTAGGTAGGATAGCTGAGATATGAATGGACAGAAATTCATGAAGAATATATCCAATAATACTGGCTAGGCTCCTCAAAGAAAAAGTACCCTAAATACCTACTAGAAACATTAAAATTTTAAGGAAGTGGAAGTTCAGTATCATTTTAGCAAATCCAAGTACTTTGCAAAGATATATAGCCTAAAAGGCTCATTGTACTTTAGTTATGGGGTTTTTTTTTAATAAGCTGTCCAACAAAACTGTCTTCATTAGTTTTAAAGCTGAGGTTGTGATTCCACTGCACTTAAAGTTGAGTCTCGAGGTTGCAATTAAGATCAAGCTGTTATTGTGCGAAGTGCTACACAAGTTCACAGACATGCACAGTCCTTGTTTTAAGTAACTTAAAAAAAATATTAAATGTTCTGAGGGGGCTCCTTTGCATTTGAAATATTTTGTGATGCTGGAAAGTTGTATGCCTGTCTATCTGTGCAAACCAAGAAAGCAAAAGACTTCAACATGGGAAGTGAAACTCTAGTTAATCTTATTTTACCATTCAAACTGATTGAAACAGGAAAAAAGAATCCCAGCAAACAACAAATAAAAAGCAAAAGCTTTTTTATCAATGCTTTGGTAATATATTAGTTGTTAATGAGATCAGTTTGGAACTGGTTTTCAAAGTATAAAGTAAAATCCTAAATTAATTAAGTCTGTCCAAACCTCAGTAGATCCCAGCTTTTCTCTCTGTTTTTTTTTTTTTTTAATCTTGACTGTTTTTCCTTAAAATCTGTGGTCTAGAAACTTTATCTGAGTGCTGCTTTGCATTTTCCTTACAGAAAAATTGTTAAAAGAATATCAACAGCGACTACAGATAATTAGCACAATTGCAGGAAGGTGTGGTAGAGCACTTTTAGAGTTCCTAGGAAACTATTTGAAATAATGACCTAATCGGTATTGATGTCTTTTAAATTTAAGACAATTTTACGTAACCCAAGTGCACTCGCTTCGTCCAAAAGTAGATCCCACCGTAATTTTGCTTTAAAAGATCCTCATTGAAATATCACATTTATTTCTGATCTGTTAATGTATTATTACCCTTTTTCGAAACTTTTCCCCCTTTATGTAAGAACTTTAATATGCCATGAACAGGGAGCATTTAGGAAAGTAATGCTCATGCTGGCAGCAGTAATCTCTTACTGATACCGGATCTATCTAGTAAATGTCTTTGTGTGATTCAGAGACAGATTTTTATACTGCAAAAGGAAAGATGCAGGAGCCAGGGAAAATTCTAAGCCGTCTAATCCCTAAGATGCACTGATAAAGGCACAAATTACATCTGGCAAAATACTAGGGAGTAATGGGCATCGATTTCTGCTAACAAGAGAACAGATGAGAAATACGCTATATTTGTCAAGGACGTGAAATACGTCTGGGACAAGTTGTAGCTGGAGACTTGACCTTTCCCAGGACAGTGGGTTTGAGGAATGGCTCAGTCCAAGAGGGACTCTTAGCTGGAGCATGGGGACCATGCCCTGGCTAGCGGAGTAGACAGGCTGGCTTGTTTCTATAAAACTGGACGCATCTTTCTTTTGCTGCACTAGCCATCTGGTGCTTGTCCTCTTCCTCTGTTAGAAGGTTTCCTGAGGGCTTCATGCTTCCTCCCTAAACTTCAATCTGCTTCAAACATGGACGCCTTACAAAGATGCCTCCTTAGTGGCACAGAATGTGTCAGTGAGGCAAGTGGTACGGACTGCATATGGGACAGGAGCTGGTGAGTGGCTGCACCATAGCGGAAATTCATGAGTTGGGTTGGCAGTTTGTTTGTTTGTTTGTTTGTTTTAAGTAAGGAAGAAAAAATAGGAAAAAAAACCCTCCACCCTTGGAACCTGTAATTTCAGAGGAAGCCAACTAGCAGAACCATCACTCTGTAACAACACAAGCTTTTGTTTTCCACTGGGGTGAAAATGAAACCATCCAACATCCTCCCACCCTGCAGCACCATTAAACTGGCAATAAATAAATTCACTTAGAGTGGGGAAAATCCAGGGTTAAAGCCCTTTGTGTGAATCAAGTAGAGCAGGAACTTGAATCTTGGTCTTGTTCAGCCAGAACAGGATACCCTCACCACCACCAAGTTATTGGCTTTCTCAGCCTGAATGTGTTCTGGACACATTTACTTCAAAAGGCTCCATTTCAATGAGCTGCCATTTTCTTATGGGGGAAAAACTGTATTGAAATATGTAAAATAAAGCCCCTTAGCCTGATCAAAGCCAGGATAACCATGCATGAGCTTCTCTTTAAATTATTTGTTAAACTAAATGCAGGTCCCTCTCTGTTGTCACACAGACCTATGTGTGAGATGCTAGGGCCAAATCTTCTGCTTGATTTAAAGCTTTTTCTTACCAAACAGATTTCAAAAGCTCTAATAACTGTTTCTGGTGCTGGTGACAAGTGATCTGTGAACCCAGTAGAGAAGGATGCAATCACCTCACTTACCTCATGCATCACTTTCTCCTTTTCCACTGGCACCTCATCAAACGTCTTCACACTCAGTGGTCGCTTCTTGCTGTTGTTACTGAAAGCAAGAAAGTTGAGGGGTCAGCATAAAACCCAAGCAGATGCTGCACCAGTTGGTAGCTCAATTAATGTCCTTGACACAGCTCAGTTTCCTGGACCACTCTTCTTTTTTCATCTCTTGTAACTAGTAAACAACGCCCTGAGAAATTTGTCTGTCCAACTCCTTTAAAACACTCATATTGAGAGAGGACAACACACAGCGCCCAGATATATCAAATCTTTCTTTCTCCCACCTCGGTATATGTTTTTCTTACCCAGTTTCCACGGCACTCCAGCGATTAACACAGTTGTTCAAGTTTTCTTCCACAGGGCAAGTTTTGGAGTTAGGTTCTCCATCAGGACACAAGGTGATGTTCAGTGGAATATAGTCTTTACCATCCTACACAATTAATAACATAAAAGACCACAAAGCTGGTAAAGATAATTTTTGTACTGCATCTCAGATGTAAAAGCTTACTGTATTCTACAGAGCTTTACACTGAGAAAGGACTAGATTTTATTTTAACTTTGTGATGTTTTGTCAAAGTGATGATGATGTTCTTCACAGCATGTGCAAGTTAGAATGTACAGCTTTAGCCAACGTTTACTGTGTAGGAGGCTTTGTATGAGGCAAACTGTTCACTTTGGGAAACCTGTGATGTAGCATGGCTGAAAATGGTCTTCAACATTCCAGTACCCGTCTGCAGTTAGTGTGTTTTCTCTTCCAGGCATCTCAGCCTGAGCTATTGCTTCACTGGTCTTTATAGCAGTTACAAGGCTTCTAAATGTCCCTCACATATGGCACAGCAGTGCGACGGTTGTATTGAGGGTGTCAATATATGTGCATCCAGTTTAAAAGTAGCTGGCATTGCTGACTTTCACAGCAGCATCTTTGATGAATTTGCAGCAATTTCTTTGTGATCATTACTACATCCCAGATGTGTGGCTGTTCTGCCTCAGTGAAAGTGAACAGCGTTTCACTGATCTGCACTTCAGGAAAGCAGTACTCTCTATTGCCATTGCGTTGGCCTCTTGGGGAATTCCAAGGGACCAGTCTCAGGGGCACCTAAATCCAAGTTTAAGCCACGTGTTTGGGAGAAGGGAGGGTGTGGCATGAAGTCACAAAACCTCTATGGTCAATATGACTTGAACAGATTTTGGAATTGGTAAAAGAAAATTGCCCATATATATATAGACTTTTTGCTTATGTTCAACTTAAGGAGTTGCAGCTTAGCAAAAGCCAGTCCTTAAAATGGTAGCCTTAAAGGATTTTATTTCTTGGCTTTACAAGAAATTGATGCTGCAAGTTTAATAGAATTCAGTACACATCTTAATAAGCTCTGCACTGTTGTTATACCCCTGCAGTAATCTTCAGAAATGACTCTTCCTTCAAGTCCTAAAATTATTTGTCCAAATTTCCCTTTGCTTGTTTGTTGTTTGTTTGTTTGTTTTTAATTTTGAGAAGCAGTTAAGTGCCCTATTCCCTTATCATGATTTTTATGTCTCCTTAATCTACTTTGGTTATAGGATAAGACTCACAAGCTCTTCATATTGCAAACTGGGCCCTCTTCAACTTAGCTTCACTAAATTTGTTTACAAACAGGAAGGAGCTGGAGGAGAGTGTTTGGTTTCTTCTTAAATTAAATTGACAGTTACATAACTTGTCTGGTTGTTTTTACTGAAGAAGAAAATAACTAATTTAACTATTGTGAAATTAATAATTATGTAATTGACTTTCTGAGCTTTAAACTGCATCATTTTAAAGCTCCTAAGAGCACTGATGAACATAAGCTCAGCAAATGAGAGAGAAAATTCAGACCAACTACTGGCAGTTTACTATGTTGGAATCTAATTAAAATTGTTTGTGAGATAAAGCACTATTGTTCCTCTAAGGGGCCACTGAGCCTTTTTTTAATTAATGTAAGTTTCTACTTATTATTGATGGATCAACATCTAGTCTTGAAATATAATCCCCTTTGAATAGTTAACATTTTCTTTACTCATCCCAGTCATTTTCCTTTTGACCTCTGTTATGAAGTCAAATCTAGTATTACTGCTCGGCATAGTCTTTACCTGTGCACACGCAAACACACATCCACATACGTACACATCTATATGTACACATCTGTTGAAGACATGGTTGTATCGCTGTACCTGCTGTACATTGGCTTGAAGAAGATCTCCTAAGCGCTCCACAAGCTCAGTGAACGTAGGCCTCTCTGTGGGTACTCCATGCCAACAATCCAGCATTGTCTGGTAGCTAGATAAAAACCGCAAGTATTAAGAAAGGAGAATGATAGGAGCTTTGCTTGCAAACTGTTTCTTTCTGCTGCTGCTTGTTTTGTTCATTGTTTGGATAGTTTTGGATTAAGACAGGTTCAAATCTCCATGTGCTGAAATTCTATTCTAGTTTTTCCATGTGGGATGCTTTTTCCTTATATATTCCTGCCTCAACTGAGCCTGTAGGCTTTTTATTTTCACCTGACTGATATTGCTGAAATAAGTCATAGCTATGGATGCCTAGTTTCTGTCACAGAATTGGAAATCAAGGCAGACACAGTGGTCTCCTGAACTGAGATGCATGAGCTACAACTGACATGGAGAGATCTGTTAATCTTGTTGTTGGCAAAGCTGACTTGGTCTGCCTTTAGTATTCGTCTGTGGTATCGGGACACCCAAGACATGCACAGCTACAGTGTTTACTGAAAACAAAATACAAACTACGTAGCTGTCATCTGGTGAGATCTCCTTCCCCCTCCACGCTTAAACACAATCTCTTTTGTAATACGTAAATGACATTTATCAGCTCTTGATACAAAACCAGGAGCTCTTACACTTCTGGAGTAGAGTACTCTGGCGATCTCATCCGAGTTCCTTCTTTGAGCCGTCGGCAGAAGTCCTCATCTATCTGCACTCCAGGGTATGGTGAGGCACCTGATGGGAGAAATAAGGAGAGGCTCCAGAATGGCACAATCTGTATTTCCCAGTCCAGTGAATTAAACATGTATCGGTGAAATTGGTGAGCATTTGTGATTACCTAGAGTCTGACAGTAAAAGAAGCTAGAACAAAGAAGGAGTTTTGTTTGGAATCCCATTACAGATTCACTCTGTCTCTTCAGAGATTTCAACCATACTATCTCCTCTGTATTCATGATATAGCCAGGACCACTCCAACGTAAAATATGGCAGAAGAGAAATAAATGTTATTAGTGTGAGACTTTAAATGACCTCTTGGTCAGTGGTAGAAAAGTTCCAGCTCATTCAGTTGGTTACATACTGTTTTCCAAGCTGTCAGTCTGCCAATATCCTGCACTAAGTGAATACACATGAAGTAAGTCAGTCCTGCTCATCATTCATTGCCTTAGAATATCTGGCCTCATTGACCTCTGTGAGCAAGTGCAGAGAAAGCTGTAGGTGTCTGGCTCCTGCAGCAGGCTGTGAGAACCTTGCAGGTCAACCTCAGATGTGGAATCGTAGTCCTTTTCTCCTGGTTCACCAGTTTAGTATTGTATATGTATTAAGCAGTCCTACATGTAAAATTTCCTTGAACAATGACCTTCCAAATTTTTAGCCTTGTTTTCTGAGTGTGAGTTCAATGCTGCTTATTTTCAGGGCCACTCAGCTGTCAGTGTGAAACCTGGGAGGATAGTTCACGGCAACTGTAATTGCTTTTGAGAGGTAGACTTCTGTAAAGGGACTGGTAGCATTATGTTAAGTTGCACAAAAGCTGGCCTAGCAGTCATCAAAATGAAGGAGTGAGACTTATTTCACTTCTCTGTGTAAATGGTTATCTTCAGAGGAATGACTAGTATAAATCTATGTATGCATTGAATGCGATCTTCAACTAATGAGCGAGTGGGAAATATTGAGAGGTTGTGATCTTTGTTCTATGACATCTGCACTTTATGATGCATCATAAATAAGGGGAACAAATACATGATTTGAGAAAGTGCTCTGGCATCTGAGTAATCTAGACCTCATAGGTAAAGTTCAAGAGATGTCCAAACTGAAGTTTGATAGGTAACTGAATCTGTAGCAGATAGACCTAAAAGATCTGTAAGCTTTCCTCCTTTCCTTCTCAGCAGAGGCTTCACATGCCGTGCAACCCTTGTTTTCCACATTTTGGCATCCTAGAGGCTGAACAGGGAATTTGGAAGAAAATTTAATCAAGTCTTAATGTGGGGGATTGAATGGAATCTGAATCTGTATCCAGCCCTCAAGGAATCTGTGTATGATTTACTGTCTGTAACATTCCTGCTTATTTCCTGCATTTTTTTCCGCCATTTGGAAACACCATCATGTGCTGTGCACTTGGGGGCACAACAAGTACAGCAGAAATCTTTTGGATGAAAGCAGCAAAGAGAGTGCCAAAACATGGCTGTTCCCAGAATTATTCTGCTCTGTGAATCTGACCGCTCAATCTGCAAAACTATGCACTGGGGAGCAAAGAGCCTGGCAACTTTGTAAGAGGGCATCTCAACACAGCAGATAGGCTCCAGTGACATTCAAAGCTCAGGGACACTTAGCCACAGCACATCTGAATTCCCTTGATGTGCAAGTATCAGATCACGGTATTCAGAGCGTTTTCTGGAGTTATGTAGATTGGAAATAGTCAGGAGCATCATTTCTGCTTTATAGCTTGATTTTCCTTCCTAGTTTTGTCTTTGGCCTGTCATTATGATCATAATAACCTGCTAATGTAATGTTCAGCTTAGATGGCATCACCCATTAGCCAAAGATCTCAAAACAAGCTTCTATCAACTCACAAGATCTCTCTGATAGATAGATAGATAGAAACTATAGTGTCACTTTCCCACATTACACTAACAAAAGGGTAAGGATAGGAACAGGGTCCGGGAGCACAGGGTCCATGTACACCTCCAGAACTCTCACTAGCTTGTCTTTTCATCTGTACAGGTTTATCTCTACAAACCTTTATGAGGTACTGAGGCTTCATGAATACATCTGTGATTTGCCCAGTTGATCCCGTATCTATTTAAAAGTGGCGCAGCCTCTCAAGAGAAGCGAGCGCAAGCCTCCCTTGATCTAGTTAGCCCTAAATTGTCGTTTTACTGGGCAACACTGAAAACAACACCCCTCATTAGAGAAGAGATGGGCTGCATAGCCTTTTCATTAACTTCTGACTGCACTGTGTGATTGTTTTGCCATCATGGCCAACCGATTTCTATGAGGAGGAGAAAGAAACCTCTTAGTTTGCTGAGTATCACTGGCCGGATCTGGCTCATGAGCACAGCAGAGGTTATTGATAAGAATCAGTCTTGCAAATACATCGATTGCAACTGAGACCTTGAGGGCAGCATGGTAGAATGGGGTGAGGAGGGATGGAGAATTGCACTTGATTTCACAATCTGAGTTATCTTGCTTTGATTACATCATTGATCGTATCAACTGCAATATGTTGGTGAGAGCAAGTACAGGGAAGGCAAAGAAGAATAATTGATTGCAATAATTTGCAATAATAATTTTTGATTGGAAGATCTTTTGGTAGTTTATATTTTGAGCAGTGCTGGCCTCCTACCAGATGGAGGCAGCTCAGATCTCAAAAGCAAGGAACTCTCCCTTTTCCACCTCCACTCGCCGTTGCACCTCATGTGGACTATGTGATAAGCCTAGTAACTCGAATTTGGGATGCTGAGACAGCTTGGGAGCAATGTAGGCTGAAACATATGGTATAAGGTCTACACATGACGTTTTCCTTAGGGGAAATCTCTTTCAAAACGCTCAAAGATGTGGCATGCATTGGATATGGTAGCCCTCTTTTGATCTTGGTTTTATTTTAGTAGGATAATAAGATGCTGATGTTATACTACCAGGCTCTGCTTGTTTACATAATTACCTTTGATTGCTTTTAGAACAGTGCACATTTAAATTCTAGGAGACACCGACATTCTGTAATACGCCATCTAAGTGATTTCAAGGTGTATTAAACATTGCTGGCATTACCTGACATGAGGTGTGCTGACCCCACTTAAAGAATGCAAAGCTCAATGCAAATTGAGCCCCAAATGAAAATTAACAGTCTCTCAAGTCCTGATTTCTCTGTGTATCACCAAAATGGATCCAGTATGCCAGCCTTTCTGGAGGAAACCTACCGTGCTTCATTCAGCTTCTGACCCCAAAAAGGCCCGTGTCCAAACCAAACTGTGCATTTTGCTAATCAGTATCTTTTCCTTTTTTAGAGGGTGCTAAGTCTGTGGGACCCAGTAAAAAGCAGCAGTTGTAAATGGGAGCCAAAACATACCCTGTAGCAACGACAAATAACTTCCATCCCTTGGCTCTCAATGATCTGTAAAACTTTTATATAAGAGAGTTCAATCAGTGACACAAATCCTTAATTAAATATTTATCGTGTGAGCTGCAGATGCGAGCAGTGCCAAACCACAGACATGCCTGGATGGTCTGTATGAAAAACCCTCTTAGAGAAAATGACTGCTTTTGAATTTGTGCCACGGATTGAAGTAAGTAGGTTGTGATCTACGTCATAACGAGAGCAGAGGCTGCTCTATGGATTGCAGCTCTTGGAGTAATTTAGTAGATTCCTCTGAATTCAGAAGAGGACAGTCTATTGTTCCAAGTAAGCACCTTCATTAAGAAAAGAGGCTATCTAAAATTAAAAGAAACCAGATAAATTGTTTTTAAAAATAGTTGAGATGAATTTCAGTGACTGTATTTTAATTTTTATTAGTTTTGAGTATTAAAGGCCAGATGGCCCGAAGCTCACATCTGTTAAACTCTATCAGGACCTTTGGGAATGGCATAAACAGTTTGCCTTCTGCAGTGGTCCTTGCCATTCATCAGTATTCAGTTCATTTGGTTCCTTGGAGATGCCCCATGGAGAGTGTCCCCTCTGAGTGTGTCTCTGCATGCTAATGCTAATACATCTTCTTGAATAATCTATTAAAACTGAGGATTGCTTCTGGAGCTTTGTCTTTCTGGGGTGTTTCCAAACACATGCAGCAGGTGATGCTGTTAGAGAGCCATGGGAGCGTTACACTGAAGTTACAAAACTCTAAATAAATGGGACTGAACTCCGAGAAAGCAATAACTGCCACTTGTTGTAACCACTTGAGTGTGAACTTTCTGGTTTGCATGCTGATACAAAGTAAAGTCCAAATCAAAGACTTGGACTGAAATCAGGTTGTGATCTTTGCAGCCAGCCCTAAATAAAGATTAGGATAGAAACAGCTCCAGCCTTTGCATACAGATCTGGACCTGGCATCTTCAGCCCGATCATTAATTTCAACTGATCCATGAACCAAAGGTAGTAGGAGATTACAGAGTTTGCTTTAAAATTCAGCAGCTTAAGTTGACAATGCTTCTTGTTTTCTTTTGTCTGCAAATGCTGATTAAAAAGCCAGAGCTGACATTCCTTAATTCCCTCAGGAAAACAAAACTTGCCACTCTGCAAGGAGAATTTGAGAGCGGCAAAGTCCAACTCTCTTGTCTAAATTTCAGGGCTTTATCTGCTGGACAGTAACCAGATCTTAGTGAGGCTGAGATTTCTAACAGCATCAGGAGATGAAATCTATAGTACATAAAGAACACCATTACTATTCTTTCAAAAATGTTGTGGCTTGCAAATGATATCGCCAGAAGATTATGCGTTCTACCTGTGTGCTGCCAAAATGACTTACGCAGAGTCTAGCACTGGTTCTCATATCAACCTGATGGCAGCTGCTGCCAATGCATTTTTGTTACTTAGAAAATCTTACTTAGATTTTGTGGGGAAGATAAGCAAGCTGGGATAAAATGTCCCATGGGCAAACTCCCTTGTGTTCCATGGGCTGCCACTAGCAACATCAGACCACTATGTCAACAGCGGTGTAATCCTCTGCAACCTTCGAGCTGCGTGATTTCCTGAAGCAGACTGCTTAGGGGAAAATATGGTTTGACAGGGAAACTTCTTCATTGCTGTCAAAGAAATACTTCACTCCTGAGCAGCAGAGGCTTCCATTATCTCTGTTACTACCAATGTTAGGTCCAGCGTTTTGGATTTTGTTTTTGTGTCCCCCCCCATCTCTTCCCCCAGTATTTACTGTTTTCATGTACTTGGCCAGGTGGAGTTCTCACTGACTTCAGTCCAGTGACTTTATTTTACATCTGATCTGCACTCTGCAGTTGTATTAACCGAAATAGAAACATGGCACCATGTTATCATCTTTTGTTTAAAGCTTTTCATAGCAATACAGCCATAAATTAGGGAGAAAAAAAAATTTTAAACCATTCTTACCTAGAGAAAATATTTCCCATAGCAGCACTCCAAAAGACCAGACGTCACTCTGTGTTGTGTAAATTTTATCAAAAATAGCTTCTGGAGCCATCCACTTGAGTGGAAGTCTTGCCTAAGAATGCAAAAGACACAACACATTGCCAGAACTGTTGTTACTAATTTGCCCAAGGAAATAAAAATTTAAGATTAGCACTTCAAGTTTCTTCCACTTACATCTCCTTTCCGTACATAGTCAGGATCTTTATAAATATCCCTGGCTAGTCCGAAGTCACAGATCTTGACCACGTTGTTCTCTGAAAGAAGGATGTTCCTTGCTGCCAAATCCCGATGAATGCACTGTGAAGGAATGAGGACAAGCAAGATCAGAGGGTCTGCCTGGACAACGAGCCACCACTGGAGACCTTCTTTGGAAGTGGAAAGATGAATGACCTTTTGTTGTGAGCAGGTTAGAGAGGGGAAACGTGTGTGGGAATCTGCTGCAACTATACTGTCATATGCAAAAGAGAAAATAACTCAGGGAACAAGCCAAGTATTACAGTTAGTTTTCTGATTTTTCTGTGTGAAATAACTTTCACAGTTATGGAGACACGAAGGGAGTGCCATTTTCCAGTTAATTGTTCTGCGGCAAATTCGGGAGAGGTCAAAAAGCAGCTGCAGCTACATTTGCAAATGCGGTCCCATGAGCGTGGGTGAGACTGGGATAATTGCACATAGGCAATTACTGTGCTGTGACTTCTGTGGGCACTACACTGGTAGCTGCGTGGTAAGTGCAAGCTTTCAGGTTTGTGCATACTTTGGCATGTCTATTACATTCAATTTACTTCAAAAACAAGTGTTCCACAGGCTACAAACATACTTTTTTTTGTATTGAGAAGAAGTGCTAACTTTGTTGATAGTCTCCGACATTACTGACAAGCTAAATAAATAGCTGTATACTCCCTCTTCATTTTTCAGTAGTACTTTTGTTGACCATCCTAGAAGGATCTTTCTCTATGAGAAGCCTTTTCTGCATTTATTTATGAGACAGTTCTGTGAATTGCCTTACAATCTGTATTCACTCCTTCTATCTAAACTCTCAGATACAGACGCCAGTCCTTGTAGCCAAGAACATGATGGATATTCCTTCGCAACTTTTACTGTGCTACTTATTGCTTAACCACCAGAGCTAATGTGATCTCCAACACTTTAATATAAGACCAAAAGCAAGTTACTCAGGCTCAAAAATATATTTGGATTTCTTCATATCAGATACTCGTGATTCTGTGAAAGAAGTTCAGCCCTGACGTTTTAATGAGCTCACTTTTCGGGAGGCGAGAAACTCCATGCCTTTTGCCACTTGGAAGCTATAGCAGATCAGATCCTCCAAAGTCAAGGGCCGCTTGTACAGATCCTCAGCGTCTAGGAGAGATCAAAGACATGGCAAAATGCTAGAGCAACAGCTCCAAACGTTTTTGGCACTGGTGCCACTTGCACGCTGATGACCCCAGCCCCGCATCTTAGTATTGTTACGCGAGTTAGCTACTAGGATTACAACTCTGGTTTAGGAACCACTGACCCAGAGGCAGACGATCAGATGATTAAAAAAGTTCCATCCAACATTAATCATGTCATTTAGCTATGGGGAAAACAACATCTGGGGATAAAAGTGCGGGAAATTATAGTGAGTGAGGGATGAGACTGAGGACAGACTGGGCCCACAAATCTTCTGGTAAAATATTGCTATTCCTCCTCTTACACAAGAGGAGCAGTTTTTATATGCATACGTTACTGCAAATCTCTTTTTGTGATGAAGTTGGAGTGGGGCACAGGCGAGAGGAAGAATTTGCGATTTCAGGAACGAGTCAAGCTGTGTAAGGGCTTGTAAAGTGTGTCACTCTGTGTGTGGCACTAGCCAAGTAACAGACATCTTTACAATAGAAGATCTGGGATTAGGTAGGTTTCTTTTACCTTCTTCATCATCTTCTGAATCGCTGTAACTCTTATCTTCAATAAATCCTGAGCTGGCAGAGCTTCCTGTGCTGGCTACACTCTCAAGGCGCCTCTTGATCAGTTCGGTCAGATCACTGTTGGACTCATCCAGACTTTTCTCTGCTTGGTCAGAGTTTTCCTGGGACTAGAAATGGCATAAAACTGATTTTTAGCTTTGGATGATGCAATGCCTGGGGATTCAAAACATGTAACAGAACAGCATATGGAGAAAGCGTCCTCTGAAGATAAGCTCAAAACATGTTTGAACACGATGTTCTCTGAATAGCAGAACTAATGAAGCCTGGTTTCCTATTTATTAATACAGAACCTCCCATTTTACCAATAGCAATATTCCACCATAAAAGTTCGCTGGAAGCTGGCTGGGTGAGACTGACAGATGAGCAGAGAGATAATGTAATTCTGTACCTCTTGCTTTCTTAGGAAACCATGCTAAAAATCACAGCTCAAGGTGTGTGCATGATGTGCACTGAAATGCATCTGTCTCCCCCTGTCCTGGGGAGTGAGACATAACCGGTCCCCACAATTCATGAAAACAATGGTGAGAAAAGAAATTTTGAGTGACTGTACAGGAAAGTCTCCTTCTCTTACACAAAGTACCTTATGTACTTTTATGCCTGTACACAATAGCTATAATAATAATAATAGAACCATCCAGGAAAATGATCTTGGGGAGGCTCCAGTTTCTGGCAGGGCTTAGATCAGAGCGCCTGTTTGATGCTGTATTTTCACAATGAGGAGGTTGTCCCATCCTCTCCCCATCACTGATTTCTGGTGTTCTGTATCTTCCCCCATATCCTAGCCCAATTTGGGCTACCACAAATGTTTGTGTGGATGCAGAGAACCGTTTGGCAACCAAACCCATTTGGTTAGTTTTAATGCAGACCATGTTCGTGATCCAGCTTGCTGCAGACAGCACAGACGTTTCAGTTGGTGCAGGGGAAGGGAGAACACAGAAGATGGGAGTGAGCAGATGAGGGAAGGGTGAGCTGCTTTCGGTAGCTGGGGGAGGGTGGACCTAGAAACAAAAATCCCCAAACTGAGCTTGTATTTTGGGAGGGTTCACCTTCTCCTAGTTCAGTTAAAACCAGTTTTTTAGTACTACTGTGTTGCCCACCTTGTGCTGGGTAGTCTCTCACAAGTAATTCCCCCTCTCTCAAATGCACTAGAGTGCCTGGGTATTTGCAACTAATTCTTTAGTAGGTGCTAGAAAAGAAGAGGATGGGAGTGAGATCCTACAGGGCAAAAAAGTTTCCTTTTCTTGCTAATACAAATTGAAATGTGGTGAGAAAATAAAGTGCCTATATAAATACCAAACTCTCAGTGCCAATGCAGAAAAAAATCCAACTTGTGGTCAGTGGTTGTTAATTCTTTGCTATGTGACTATGAGAAGCTTGTAATTTTTTTTACCTTGTATGCAATGAAATCTCCTCGTTTTCCTCTTAGATAGTTGGAGAGATTTCCATATTTGCAATATTCTACTATGACCATTAAAGGACCTAAAAAGACAGTGAAAGATAAATGAGTTTTGAAGCACTGTGAAGCACTTAATACTAACCTATCCTTACAAATCCTCTTCAAAATAAGTAAATACTGTCATTGCTGTTATTCAGATGAGGAAATTAGGAAACAGAGAAGTGACACTCCAAAAGCACACAATCTGTGGTGGATATGGAGAGAAGGGAATACAGTGCTGATTCTTAGTTTTCCCCATTAGATGGTAAGAGTTGGTATTTATTCCTTATTTATAAACAAAGGAAAATTCAGAATGATAAATAAGAATATGCAATCCCATACGCTATTAAGGTTGTTTTACTCTATATGGAGATCCATAGCATGGAGCAGTCTTCCTTCTCTGCTGCTTTCACAATTGTTTGTTTTAGGTGGAGCTGATGCCACTAGAGGCAATAAAAGTATGCATGATCATTGAGAGATTTAAATCAAAAGTTGCAAAAATATTTAGTCTGAAGTTTTTGAAAGCCTGGCAAGTCCTATCCATTTCTTCCTTTCTTATTTCTGTGCAAATTACTGTAGAGTTCAACGCAATTGCTGCTTTTATACAATTATGCATATTTTTAAGCTCTTGAAAATGCTTTTATGCTTCAGTGTGAGCTATTAGAAAAGGGAAAAGCTACATTCTCTACCTTTAGCATAATCACTGCTTTTTGTAATCATCAAATGTAAGATAAGGTGCAATCGTGGGACTAGAACGCATATAAGCATGTATTATTATCAAACCTAAGCAACCAGGCTTTCATGTCCAGAAACCCTTTTCTGTCTAGAAGGTCTGTAGTTCAGGCTTAGGAGTTTGAACTTCAAAGGAAAAGTGCTGAGAGCTGCACTTGGCCATTCAGGAAGGAGGCAGCTCTAAGCAGCGCTTCTCTCCGGCTCTATCAGCAAGACGCGTACAGGCTTGTGCTGCAGTTTGCCCCTTGCTCTGGCAGGGACGTGTCAGAAAAGGCTGAGAGCAGGGCTGGAAGGGGGCCAGGAGGGAAGAGTGTAAAGCATATGCTATACATTACTTCTAACTGCTCAGCCAAGGTGTTAAAACTTGTTATTAATAAAATATAATAT